CAAAATATATAAAGAGCTCATACAACTCAACACTAAACAAACAATCCAATTTAAAAAATGGACAGAGGAGCTGAGCAGAAGCTTCTCCCACCTCTGTGTTCATTGCAGCACTATTCACAGTGGCCAAGAAGTGGAAACAACCTAAGCGTCTTCAATAGATGATGGGATAAAGAAGATGTGGTACCTGTATACTGTGGAATACTAATCAGCCACCAGAATAGATGAAACCCTGCCATTTGCGACAACATGGATGGATATCACTTGAGCATATCACTCTAAGAGAAGTCAGACAGAAAAATTAAGAACCATGTGATTTCACACATATAGAAAGAATATAGAATATAGAATATAGAACTGAAAGTAACAAATGAACAAACAAGAAAAACAAAAATTCAGACACAGACAGTACGGTGGTTACCGAGGGAAGGGGGTCAAATATACGGTGACAGAAGGTGAATTGATTTTAGGTGGTGGGCACACGATGCAACATACAGATGATATATCACAGAATTGTACACTTGAAACCTAGAACATTTTATTAACCAATGTCACTCCAATAAGTCTAATTTATAAAAGAAAAAGCATGCTTATATCCACTGAAAAAATTCTTACAAAATCATGCTTAAATAATCAAATTCAAAGGAAAAAAAAAAGTAAAAAACAAACAGCTACAGGGAGGCAGAATAAAGAAGGGTTATGTGAGTCAGAGAAACACTTGCCAGAGAAAATGTTCTCTAAGTTGAGACCTGAGTAATTCATTATGAAAATGAGATACTGTTACATCTAATTAAATTGAAAAATCAGCTTTCACGATGAAAAGCAGGCATATATTTATTAATATATGAAATCAATATTATTTTAATAAACCTTTAATATCTTAATATTAAATCAATTGCAAGCATGTGTTTTCTGAACAAACACTAGTGCTGACACCATGTAAGGGGAAGTATTATATAATAAAGAAAATACAAGTCATGACCCCTAACTTCAAAGCATTTGCAGTCTAGCCATGGAACAAGCCTATTACCCGTGAAATAAGAGGGAACAACAAAAAAGTGCTGAGATGAAGCAACTATAATTGTTACAGAAAATTTAAGCTCCTACAGAGTAAGAGCCATGTCTTAATCATGTTACCATTGCTGGCCTGAGGGTACATATTTAGGAGCAGATAATAAATAAGGTAAATCAGGGACCACAGCAGAGGTCTATAGACTTGATGCTATAGAAAATAGAAAGCTGTTGAATGCTTTGACAAGAAGAATGAAATAATAAAAGTGCTGTTAAAGAAGGTTGGTGTGGGAAGCCACGCTCCCGTGTAGCACTGAGTACAGGGGGCAGTAGCGGGATTGAGATCAGAAGCATTTGAAAGCTGGGGCGAGGGTATGCCCGTACATGTGAAGAAAAACGTGGGCACCACAGCCATTCTGAAGAAATTGCTTCACAAAATGGTGAAGGGTCATAAAGAAAATGAAGTATCCCAGGAAAATGTGTTCTAAGCCTAGATAAATGTTTGACACTAATACAGAGGGCTCAGTGCAAAGGGGAATGCGTTTGGGAAGAAGGCGATGATGGGTTCAGTTTGGGAGATTTTACTTCTGAGATGACACAGAGACATATGAGAACAAATGACTAATTAGCACTTCAAGATAGAGATCTGTGTATTATATAGGCTTGGAAGCAAAACCAAAGCCACGAAACTGTCTCATTTGTGCACTCATTTAACATATATGTACTGAGTTGTTACCATGTTCTAGAATTTGTCATAATCATGGAAAGAGAGTTATGACAATAGGAGAAAGTATCCCTGCTCTCACAGAATATTCTAATGAGATGACAAATAAATAAAAAAAATTATAACATGCTACATGGTTATAAATTCTATGGAGAAAATTAAATTAAGGTCAGAGAAAAGGATTGCAAATGGAAATAGTGGGGAGAGATTATTTGTTTGTTTTTAAGAGACATTAGGAAAGACCTATCTTAAAAGGTAATATTTGAATAGATACAATGTAAATGAAGTAATGAGCCTGACATATTTCTGGACATCAAATAAATTATTTTGTATGAGGCAGAGGATAAGCCAGTTTTAATGCGCTATGGAAGAAGTAAGGTGGTGAGCTTGGCTGGACCAGAATGAGCCAGGAGGAAAAAGAAAAGGGTGAGGCCGGACAGGTAGTACCTGGGACCAGTAGGATCAGATGACCCACTGTATGATGCTCAGCTTTTACCCTGGGAGTGGTGGTAAACCAGAGAGGAATTTGAGCTAAGGAGTGATACAATGTATCTTGTATCTTAACAAGCTCAGTTTGGCTGTTGTGCTGAAAATAAAATAAAAAAATAGACAGCAAGGGTAAAAGTGGGCACATCAGTTATGAGATTACTGTAATAAACCAGGTGAAAGATGACATAATATCAAGGTGGTGAGAAATGACCTGACCCTGGACTAATTTTATTTCATTTAAAAACATTTGTTTTCTTTATTGATTTTAGAGACTGAAGAAGGGAGAGGGAGAGAGAGATAGAAACACCGATGAGAGAGAACATCGATTGGCCGACTCCTGCACGCCCCCCACTGGGGATCTGGCCCACTACCTGGGCGTGTGCCCTGACTAGGAATCGAACCAGCGACCTCTTGGCGCATGGGTCAATGGTCAAGCACTGAGCCACACCAGCCGGGCAAAATCTGGACTAATTTTAAAGATAGAGTTAACGGGTTATTTGATGTTTAAGTTTGTCTTATAAGAGAAACAGAAACAAAGAAGTCAAAGATGACTTTACGACTTTTGACTGAAGCACCTGAAAAATGAAGTTCACATTTTATAAGATAGAGAAGACTGGGTTCGGAGGAAAATCAAAATTCAGGATATGTTAATTGTGAGATGTATGTCAGACATATAAGTGAAAGTGTCACTATCTGCAGTACTGGAATTTAGAGCAGGGGTCCATCCTGGAGAACTGATTAGGATAACGTGGTATATAAAGCCATGGTGCTGAATGAGATGTTCTAGGGAATACAGATAAAGAAAAAAAAGAAAAGTTAAGAACTGATCTACAAAATGAAGAGGGATCAGCTAAGGAGACGAATAATGGGTAGCCATTTAATTAATTGGAGATCCACGAGACAGCAGTTTACTGGTAGCCATGTGAAGAAAATACTTTAAAAAGAGAGCCCTGGCTGGTTTGGCTCAGGGGGTGGAGTGTCGGCCTGTGGTACAGAGAGACCCGGGTTCGGTTCCCGCTAAGGGCATGTACCTCGGTTGCAGTTTGTCCCCGGCCCTGGTTGGTTGTGCGGGTGGCAGCCACTCGATGTGTCCCTTCACATCGATGTTTCTCTCTCTCTCTCTCTCTCTCTCTCTCTCTCTCTCTCTCTCTCTCCCTCCCGCTCTATCTGAACAAAAAATGGAAAAATGTCCTCGGGTGAGGATAGAAAAAAAAAAGAGAGAGAGAGTTATCTATTGGGTTACTCAGACAGGTCTACTAAGGAGAAAACATTCAACTTTACAAATGGATTTAGCAATATGAAAGCAATTGATGACCTTGATAGAGAGTGAGTGGTTGGGATAAAAACCTAAATGGAGCCCTGGCCCGTTTTGCTCAGTTAGAGCATCGGCCAGTGGTCCAGAGAGACCCAGACTCGGCTCCCACTAAGGGCATGTACCTTGGTTGCAGTTTGTCCCTGGCCCTGGTTGGTCATGCGGGTGGCAGCCACTCGATGTGTCCCTTTCATGTCGATGGTTCTCTCTCTCTCTTCCTCTCTCTCCCTCCCCCTCTATCTGAACCAAAAATGGAAAAATGTCCTCGGGTGAGGATAAAACAAACAAACAAACAAACAAAAAACCTAAATGGAATTGGTTCAAGAGATAAAGAGAGGGGAGAAATTAACAACTGTGAAGGTAGACAATTCTTGAAAATAATATTTATTCTAAAGCAGAAAAGAGTAATGGACCAATAGCTAGAGTGGAGATGAGGGATCTAGAACATGCAAAGCAAAAGAAAATAAGATAACTGAACCAAGAAAATAAATATTTTTGGTGTTAAGAATGAGAAAGCCCAAAGATAACTGGGATGAAATACCAGGAGATAGATAAGAATAAAGTCGTCTTTGTATAGTATCCCATGAGCCAATGGACTGGTAGTATATTGACCAATATGAAATACAGCAAGAAGTATGAGCATGCAGAAAAGGGGCATTATTATTATTATTATTTTATCAAAAAGGAGATCATCAACAGAAAAAGCATCAGAATATATCAGAATGATTGGACTTACATGTTTTTCAAATATCTCTAATATTTCAATTATTCGTGTTACTTATATGTTTCAGGTACTCTTCTAGTCATTTGGAAAATAAAAAAAAAGTGGAAAAAAAACAACAACCCTACTTTCATAGACTTAGAATCTAAGGTAACAATTTTTCCTTAAAAAAAAACAAAAAAAAACAACTGTTAAAATGTGTTATATGCACCCCCAAATCTCTGATTCCTGTTATTCACAGCCTTGTGTAATTCCTTGTCTTCAAGTGTAGACTGGAGTTAATAACTTGCTTCTGACCAAAAGAATGTGGCAAAGTTGATGGAATAGTATTTTCCCCATTCGGTTCCAGGGGATTCCAACTTCCATCTTAGTAGTAGACACTCTTGCCTGCTCAGCTTGCTTTGAAGGAGCAAGCTGCCATGCTGGAGAAGTCCATTTGGCAGGTCACTGAGAGCAGTCTCTGACCAACAGCCTTGGAGGAACTGAACCCTGCAAACAACCACGTGCCTGAGTAGAAAGCAGGTATTTCCCCTATCAAGCCTTCAGATGTGACCTCAATTCTGGCTCAAACTTTGCAGCCTTTTGAGAGACGGAGTGAGGGGACTCAGCTAAGCCATACCCATATTCCTGACCCACTGAAGAGTAAGGTATAATGAGTGGTGTTCCAAGTTGCTGACTTTTGGGGTAATTCACTCTGTGGCAGTAGATAAGAATGCAGCATTGGAGTGAAGGAATGAATCACTTACCAGTTGTTCCAATGGAAGAATTACATCTTTCAAGACATGCTGTGAATGATTCCTTCTGTGCCGGGATATCTGCAAAATATTGACATTTGATGCTATTTTATTCTTTTTTCTTTAAAAAAAAAAGTTACAAACGATTTAAAAGACTATAAATTAGTGAGTGTACATGAAAACAACCACATTCAGAATCATTAAAGAAGGTGAATAAAGTAGATATAAAATAGGAAGCAGATCTGTTTGGAGAGTGACTACTTTGAATGAAGTGCATGTTCAAAGCTGGCTGGTTGCAACAGCATCTCTTATTCTACGTGCCCCTTCCATCATGTAACCTCCTACAAGTGGAGGGGTCTGCGCTCTTCACTTTGAACCTGGGAGAACCTTTAGGTCGGCTTCAAACCAAAAGTACCACAGAAATGGTTATGACTTCAAATCTTAGAGCATAAAAATGTCATATTCTCTTCGATCCCTCACACTTGGAAATTAGTCACCATGTTGTGAGGAAAACCAAATAACCCTACATTGAAAGACCATAGGGAAGGCCTCTAGGTTTTCTGGTTAATAGACTGGACCGTGCAGGGTACCAGAGGAGAGCCAAAATCAACCACCAATCAGGTGAGTATGAAGATCTTCTAATGATTCCTTCTTCACCCCCAGGCTTCAGGTCTTCCCAGCAGAGACCTCACACACTGTATTGTACAGACAAGCTGTTCCTGCTATGCCTTATCTGAATTTATTTTGTTTTCTTTATTGATTTTTAGAGAGAGAGAGAAAAGGGAGAGGGAGAGAGAGATAGAAACATCTATGAGAATGAACATTGACTGGCCGCCTCCTGCATGCCCCCCACTGGGGACTGGGTCCACACCCTGGGCATGTGTTCTGTCCAGGAATCAAGCTGGTGACCTCTTGGTGCATGGGTCAACGCTCAACCACTGAGCCACACCGGCCGGGTCTCATCTGAATTTTTGACCAGGTTCCATCAGACTTAAAGAATCATCGATTGATACTTCTGTATTCCCGGGTGATTTGCAATGCTGTACTAACTGGAACAAAATATTTACTATAGAAACACTTCGCGTTTATGATGTGAGCTCAGCTTTTTCAGCATTAATGTTTTATTAATTTTTATGTCTTCTATTATCCATATGTACTTAAATGTATAGCAGTCACATGAATAAATGGTTTGAAACAATTTTAAAAAACGTTTTTATTGTTCTTTATCCTAAAAAAGCATCATAGGAAGATTGTGTAATACAGTTAAAAGAGAAAGAGAAGGGATTTATAATTACATAGTGTATTGTTTGATAACTTAAGCAGAAGCTCTCAGTAATAGTAGTATTTCACACCCTGGCCTGTTTAGGTCAGCAGTTAGAGCGTTGGCCCGGGGACCAAATTGTCACAGGTTCCTTTCCAGTCAAGAGTACATACCTCGGTTGCGGTTCATCCCCAGGGGAGAGAAATTGGGTCTGATGGAGAAAGCTGCATGAGAGGACAAACTGTGGCAGAGCTGGATAGTTATTTACTAAGTTCTGTGCTCTTTCCTGGGCTCATATCTAGACTGCATTTCTCAGCTTGACTTGCACTTAGAAGTGGCCATGTGACTGGTTTAGACCAATGGAAAGTGAGCAGGAACAAAGAGAACCTCTCCCCAGAAAGCTATTAACCAGTGAGTGCTTCCCTGCCATGGTCTCTCTTCCCTATTTTGCTGGCTGGAGAAAACATGAATGAGGCCTTAAGGGAGGATGAAGAAGCAAAAGGGAAGAATTTGGCCCCTAAATTACCATGTCAAGAAAAGCCAAACTCAGGTCAGAAAAGTTTGATCACTGGTAGGGGGCTGTGGGAAGCAGCCAACCGATGTTTTACTCTCATGTTGATGTTTCTTTCTCACTCACTCTCCCTCTCCCTTCCTCTCTCTCTGAAAAATCAAAAACAAACAAACAAAACCCCCCAAAACAAAACGTAATGGCAAGAAATTCTCTCTACAGTATTGGAGAATGGGTACCTAAGCATTTAGCGGTCAGTCTTACTGTTCTACCCTGGCCAAGTGCATGCCATTTTTGTCCCACTGTTACTAGGTTTAGATGGGCCTTGGGGCCCACTGTCCTCTAAATGTTTCCTTCTAGTTCCCTGCAGAACACTTTCCTATAAGACAATCTTTCAAAATGTGTTGTGTACGTATCGCCAGTGGCACAAGAGATTATTTTCTCTAATGAATGTTTTTATTTTAATTATTATTTATATAATCTTAAGGTTTAGTAGAAAAATAATGACATTTATTAGTGATAAAATCTATTTTTCATTAATTTAAAGTTATTTAAGTATATAAAACAGGGGGAAAAACACACAAACATAATAAGTGAATGACTGAAGTTTGGTAAACAAATTTTCATGAGAAGAAATTGGAACAGAAATAACCAGTTACTGAGCACACATAATTTATCTTTGAAGGAGACCATTTGTTCCATGGTATAAACAAAATTCAAATTGATAAATGATATAATAATATTGTCTGCTATCATTTACTGAGTGCTTATCATTTGCAGGCACTATCCTAAGTGTTTTGCATTTATTAATATATATATAATTCTAACCCAAACTTTAAGAGGTCAGTTATATTACACCCTTTTATACATGTTAGGGACACAGACACAAATTGTTTTAAGTAACTTTGAAAAACCACAGCTAGTGATAAGCATGGGTGATATTTTAACACGCATCCAAATCCTCCATAAAGTGCAATCGTTGATTGCAATTTATTGCTTCTCCAACAACATACATGTATACGTATAAAGATAGGCACTAAATGTGTAGGAAACTACAGAGTTGAAATCCCCTCTGTGCATAGATATATATTTCTGAGAGAGGAATTTCAAGAGAGTTGAACATATAAATTTATGCACATTACACAGAAAGCTAGAAATCAGGTTTCAAATCTGTTATAAATCATCTTAATATTCCTTTAGGGGAAGTAATATTGCTGATAATTCCTAAATCAATAAGCTAGCAGATATATCATGTTCAACCAGGTTATGAAGATGTAGGGGGGAAAAGAGATTCCATCACCTGTCTTTTGCTTCACCACTCTCCTCAGTTGAGCATCAGGCACAGAAATATGTTATCATTTCTAATCAGATTATACTGACTGAGACTTATGATTTAGGAAATTCTGGATTCAAAACTGCTCAGTTGTCTTTAATGGATATCAGAAAAAGTTAGCATGTTTCAAGAGAGTTGTCTGTACATGATAATATACTTAATTGAAATTATTATAAAGAAAACTTGAGGACAACCAAATTTGGATTAAAGTTTGAAAGGAAAAGCTATATGCTATAGTATAAAAAACAAAATATTATAGTACTTATATAATTGTGTATAAATAGCTTATTATTGTTATCTGGTAATTTTGCAAATCATTATGGGGACACATTCTTTTTTTCTTTTTATCCTCACCCGAGGACATTTTTCCATTTTTAGTTCAGATAGAGTGGGAGAGAGAGAGAAACATCAATGTGAAAGGGGCACATCAAGTGGTTGCCACCTGCACGACCCATCCAGGGCCGGGGACAAACTGCAACAGAGGTACGTGCCCTTAGTGGGAACCGAACCCGGGTCTCTCTGGACCGCAGGCTGACGCTCCAACTGCTGAACCAAACGGGCCAGGGCTGGGGACACATTCTTGAGCAGCATTCCCCCTTAAGACATTCGATGTCCTTACAAACGACTCAATTTAGCCAGTAAACATCTTCTGTTAGTAGACTTATATGCCAGTTATTTCTAATAGTAGGTTCTCAAAATGTATTTTTTGTTAAAATTATAAAATATCTTTAGTACTAGTGTTGCAAAGAGTGTATTTTGTTTTTGGATGTTCCTAATATTTTTTCCAGAATTTCATAACTTCTAAATATATCTGATATCAAAAACCTACATTTTGTTCTGCAAATTGCTTCTGGATAGGTTTCAGAATGTGGGCAGCAGTGGGTTCCACTGAGTGATCTTAGGTGCTTTTCACTTTTGCAGGAATCATTCATTAATCGTTGAATTTGGAAAACTTGAATAACAGTAATAATATTAGCGGCAGCTTGATATAACTTTACTTTAACACATTATTTTCTCCTTGAATTCCAGAAGCATTTCTTCTGAGGAAGCCTGACAATATGGCTTTCATGTCTGTTTTCTTTTTTGTTTCCAAATGTTCTGAAATAGTACACAGATCCTTCCTCTAAACATAAGTAGACATGTATGCATATCTACCACATATTTGTGCACAGCCTGATTTTTTTCTTGCTAATTCTTATATTCAAATGATAAAATGTTGGTTTCAACATCATTTTCCAACTCCTATTTGAGAATTTCCAGTACTTTAGCAAAAAGAAGCCTTAATAATTTTAAGTTTCTTTTCTTTTGAGATGGCATGAGTATGTCTTAAACTTTTTCTATCACAGTGTTCTGCATCTTAAGTAACTGAACTTTTATAATAAATACTTGAGTTGAAGACATCCCTTTGTCTTGAGGTGAAAAAAAAGTCAGACCTCATCTTTTTCTTTAATGATGTTATCTTCCTATTGATTTATTGTGCCCAGTAAATAGAAATGATTTGTAGCTACCATTGGAAAAAAAATTGAAATACAATGTCTTCTTAGATTTTCTTTTTTGAACCCAGTATCAGATTAATATATCACTGCAATGCTTTTAGATCAAATCTGTGAGTTTTTCCTTCTTTATCATCACCTACCTCTCTTCCCACCCACTTCCACTCCCATGCTCATCCCCAAGCACTTTAGCTTTGTGTTTGTGCAAAGCAAGGTAGAAAAATGGAGAATTCAGAGTATGCAACACATATTTTCTTTTAAATTCATTTTTGTTCCTATTAGACTATGCATGATAATTATTTTTCAGATATTTTTTTTCAAAGAAAAGGAATTAAAAAGTCACTTTTTCAAAGTATTTTCATTTTTAATTCCATTCCTTTTTCATTTCTATCTATTTAAAGAACATGAAACTGATGAAAGGAAATAGTACTTGATATATTAAAAACTGTAAAAATAACATAATTTTGGTATATTATTTTCCTGGTG